AGAGAGAGACAGAGAGACAGAGAGAAGGTGGATTCCCCTACATGCGACATACCCCCAATGGGAGCATTGTAATTCATGGTTTTCATTGCAGTCGTGGGGCCCTTAGCCTTGAGAAGTGATGCAGGGGGATACAGTCGCCTGCAGGCACTAAGGATTTAGCCGTAGCGTGCGCGGGAACGAGGCCAGTTTTCAGTTTCAAGGAGGCTTCGCAGTTGGGACTGACCATGGGGGCGAATACCGTCCTCGAAACCCCCACCGCCCCTGTCCTACAGACCAAACAGGGAGGGGGACGCCTAGGCGCGGATTAGCGAGGCTAGCCCGAACCCAACGGAAGGAGCAGTTGTGATTTGCTACAATCCGGTAGTAGTTCGCAGTGACGCAGCAGTGTGAGCAAGCTGGTATTGCAACAGCTTGTCGTGCTTCGAATCGAACTGCTGCCGTCTTGTTGGGAACATTCAATATGACGACGACTTGTTCTGTTGACAAACCAAGGGGACTTACTCGAAGCTGTGTATGTGTACATCGGCGAGCGCGAGTGCCAAAAGACTTGCAGTTCTAATGTGAATATCAGTTATCATGTCAATACCCGAACTGTTGAGCTCTTCCCCATCAAGCCACAGAAAGCTCAGACGGCTTGAGCCCCGAAGCCAAAAGTCTCATACGCGCATGGCTAGATGCTGCGAGGTGTTCGGTTCCACACACATCCTCGTGGAATTTGACTTCTCGGAGCCAAATCGGCTCGATGCGTGGATGAACGCAGCACGGCTATGTCTACAGGAGCCTACATTCTATATAGATATTGTTCCCGTAGTTCGCTATGGCAGCAATGCATGACGACAGCTATTTGTCTACTTTGCCAACCTTCCAGAGGACCCGTTCCGACTAGACGCCACAACATCCCACAAGCTGCAAGGTAACACCAGAAGACCAGCTAAGAGGGCCAAGCCGTCTGGTAGCAACACCTCGAGCTTGAGGGATGAAGAAACTGTCGGTAGTTGAAGACTTTGCAGCTGAGCAGAAATCTTACATGCCAAGTTTGACGGCATGCCAGCTTTCACGTCGGGCTCCACACAGGAAGTCCATGGAAGACCCAAACCAACCAAGCCCTTTCTTAACTTCCTCCCAGGCTCAGGCTAGACATGTCTTGGAGCCTAGAAAGAAACCCGATGAGAGCACACGAGGTGGTGCTGCTCCTGCTAGTCATGGTGCTGCCGCTTGTTGCGAATAGACGCCTGCAAGCCTCTGTTGCTGCAGGGTGCTGCCGTTGTACTGCCATGTTGTAGTTGTAGTTGTAGTTGTAGTTGTAGTTGTTGTTGTTGTTGTTGTTGTTGTTGTTGTTGTTGTCGATGCCTGTGCCTGTGCTGAATTCAGAAGACTTCCGTGGTGGCCGACGGAAATCCACTTGCATGCTTTTGTTTGCTGGTGTCTGTGAGTAAAATGTCCTGTAGTCATCATGGCCCACTCCACGTGATAGAACAGTCATCGAGTGCTGCCAGTTGAAACCACGCCCAGGTTGGATCAAGTGACAGCTGCAGTCTTGTCTCGTAGACTCATAGACCAGAGCTGAGCAGCGGGTCTTCGCCAAGGATGATTGGCTTTTCGCTGGTGCTCTCGAATTCTGTATCCAGCATCGTACTGAAGCCATTGGAGCAGCTCCTGACTCAGGCTGCAGAGGGGTTTGGCTTTCGTTCACAGGTGTAGAGTTCTTTGGTGTTTTTCCAGCCTTAACCTCTTGTCCATTGAAGTCTCCCCAATCACGGGGTGCCAGCATTCCGTGTGTCTTTGGCTTGCCTTTGTTTGGGCTTGCGCAGCAGCATTTGGAATCGCTTCGGCTGGAGGGCTGAAGTTCTTAGTGGGTGCTGTAGTAGTTTCTGCAGGTCCTGTGGTATTTTTCCTGACCCCTGATCGCAGAAGCCCGAGAAACACTGCCTTGACGCCCGCACTTAGACAGCATTGCTGCTTGCACATTCCCATTGTTGAACCATTTTCGCTACTTTTATCAGGAATTCTGCAGAAATCTAATGTAGATCACGCAGTCATCACACATGAGCCGGCATCGCACCCTTTGTTATCAGGATCGGGACGGGAGTATGCAAGGGTTCCTAAACAGGCTTCGGCGATTCTCGATTACAGTTGATGCAAGGCTCCAGCACCAAAGATCAATTTTTTGGTTGAATCGAAGCAGGCAGGCAGTTCTGACTGCGCAGGTGAGGCAGATGGCATCGACAATCTTTCAGCCACCGGGTCTGATTTGGAGAGATTTGGAGTGTAATTGTTGTATTCGGGTTCTTTGATTCTTGGATGTCGATCGATGCTGCTGAAGCATGACGAATTTTGGGTCGGACTAGATAACCTTCCTGTTGCTTGTCTTGTCAAGTGGTGCGGCCATGCCTTCGATGTTCACGCGGACCCCAGGTCTCACATGTTTGCGTCGAGGGTTGCCAAGCTTAAGCCTATTCAAGCCTCGCTGGCTGAGCACTTAAGTGGTGGACTGACCCCAAGCCTGAAACCTTCACAAGCTTTCATTGAAGCGGAAAAATTGGGAGAGATGCCCGTCCAGGGCTGGAGCTTTGGGCTCTGGGATCCCAGGTCTGTCACGGACATGGAGGTCGTCATGAAAGAGCCGGCGAACGAGGCGAACTCCGAGCAGGTGGGCTCTGACGGATTCGTTTGGTCTTTTGAAGCTTCAAAGATGACTCCGATTAGACCATGGAAGTCAAAGTCAAAGGTGCTTGGGGTCGGGCTTTAGGCTGTAACTTGAGATTTTCGGGCTGTAGGGCAGCATCCATGAGGGTTTAGAGTAGCCCTGCATCTCCAACATCCAACATCCAGTCTAAAGGCCGGCAGACAGACATTAGCCTTAAACACCCCGAATGTGAGCGCCCGAAACACTGGCAGAGCCATAGCAAAAAAGCATGCGGGCACCACGTGACTTATTGGAGCTAAGCAAACCCCCTGCCCAGGACGACCTCCATGAGACCAAATTCGGCAACGAGACGCAACTCCTAGCGAAGGTCAAGGGGGCTTATTGCGAGTTGCGAGTGTGAGCATTGTCCGCTCAAGGGATGTCTGTATTTTACCACAGCTTGCGCCTGCCCGACCACGACCACCATGCCCGACATATCGGAGAAACACCTGAATAGTTTCTTCGCCGGTCAAACTCCTTGCAAATTTCCGAAGTGATGTATTTTTGCATATTTCAAGTCAGGTCGTGCAGAAGCTTGCAGTGATCAGCTCCTTGGACTGCATTTAATGCCCTTTGCCGTCCGAGTCCGTGGAGCAGCTTTCTGCGTGCACTATCCATTTAGAGAAGATGCTATCCGACTGAGAAGCTGCTGCACTGACAGAGCAGAGACTCCCAAGGCGAGATCACCATGAACAAGCCCATGCTCGACGTGCAGCTGTTGCAGAAGCTGTTTTGAATTTCAATTCCTCCCCCTCCGCTCCCCCATGCTCCGAAGTCACGGGAAACGGCTGCCTGCCCAGCAAGTTTCACCGGCTCCAAGCAGTAGTTTTCGATTTTGTGTATCACCCGGACCCCGAAATTCAGGAATCTCGCCGAGAACGACCGGGCCGTGATCTCCGGCTTCCAGGGTGGCCTCCCTGCGCAGGCTGAGTTGCGATTGTCTTAGAAGTGGCAGGAGCACGAGCAGCAGTGGCAGTGGCAGTGGCAGGAGGAGTAGAAGTAGTAGTAGGAGGAGTAGTAGTAGTAGTAGGAGGTAGCAGGTAGCAGGTAGGGGTTGTGGTAGTGGTAGTCGTCGTAGCAGCAGGGGGAGGAAGAAGAGGAGGAGAAGAGGTGCTGCTTTACCTCCAATGTTCCGTTTTCCTTTGAATAGGACAAGCTTTTCGATCGCGGCGATGAGATGGTTGCTCGGATGAATCAAGTCGGGGTCTGGAGCCGCTGCATATGAATGAAGCCCACGACGAGTCTCGAGACGCCACCAGATCAAAGCCAAGGAGAATGCCTTGGACATGGAGTCCATCGAGCTTGCGCAGCGTGTGCCGTGCCGAAAAGTATCAGTTCGGGCCGATCAGCACATTGCAATCACGACATCGCCCGTTGCTAGAGGCCATGGTGGAGAATGCAGGCCTGTCCATGGAGCTGCTGGACTCCTGGAACCTCAATCCGTTGGAGCCACTCTCCCAAACAATGCTCTTTCCAGGCGCTTTCCCACTGCAGGCGAGGTCATTGAAGGCAGAACTCAGCTGTAAAGCAGGTCAGAGCAGGATACCGTACCCGGATACTGGCAATCATCAAGTCTGGGTGTAAGCAAGGACCGTAGTAGGACTCCATTCCCGGACATCCCTCATGGATGAACCGAGAACCTCCGTAGCAGTTGTTGATGCTCTGGCCTCACACTCGGTCGAGCTCTTGCGGCGCTGTCGCTCTGAGGTTGGATAAAGCTCGGAAGCTTGTCTGCAGGATAGCCTATCCGGACGTGCTTCATGACGACTCAGTGATCTCCTGGCACCATTCGGAAGGGCGACCACATGCTGTGTTCAAGCTCCAAGCTCAATCGCCAACCACTGTGCCGTGCTGCATTAAGGAACCATGTGGCGGCCGCGCAGCTGAAAGTAAGCTGAACCTCGAGTTGCTCCGGCACCCTCTAGCTCTCCCTTTACCGGTGACCTTGTGTCTCGAGGCGATGTACTTCTGCAGCTCGCACAACCATGGCGTGGAGTTTGACTCTGTGCCCTGCATGCACAGTGCATGGTCGGGCTGGACGTTGATGCCTCCCACCACTTGGCTGCATGTGGTCCGGAAGTAGCTTCTGGGGAACATCATGCCACCGGAGTGGTCTTCAACACATTTGAGGCAACTGACCCCGATGTTCTGAAACACTTTGCTTCGAAGACCTGCATACTCGTAACACTGGCCGGGGAAACTTGCCCTTGTCCTTCGAACGTAGCCACTTCCAAACCAAGAACGTGGCTTCAGCTCCAGGTCATTATGGGCAATTTTCTCAGTGAGGCCGAGTCCGGTCACGGCCCCGGCAATTCTTATTCGCAATGTGTGCATTCGCAGTAGTTTTGGGAGTTCTCAAAATCAGCAGTACTCTCACGCGTTTGACGGATTCGCGTGCGAACTGTTTAGTTGCACGAGGCAGAGCAACAGAGAGAGCATATTGCGAATTGAGCAATGTTGGCAAGATCCTGGAACAGCAACATGGGTACAGAGCTCGCAGGCTTAAGGGAGAGTCCGAATCTTCTGCACAAGTGCCTCAACAGGAATGCCTCAATCATAAGAGCTTGATCTGCAAGGCTATGTGAAGTCTGCTCCGTACCACAATTGGTTCCATGCAACTCGGTTTGTCTCAGAGCTGGCTTAAAGACTCGGCCATATGGACTTGCAGCAGTGCTCCAAGTGGGTACAGTATCTTCGGAAGATCTGTCGCCCCAAAGGAGAGAACAAGGTTTTGGCAGAGGGGCCAGGTTAATAGAACGTTTATGCAGCGAGTCCCCTATATAGCTTCGATGACCAAGCCCAAGCTTCAGCAGGATGTCTTCGGCTTGAAGCGTAAAGCATCATCATTGGCATCTCTCAGACGGACTGCTACAGAACCAGACCCACCCGTCGAAGCAAGGCAGTCGACTGCGCCCACGCCGTATATCGGCTACTGCAAATGTGCATTGCTGAGGCGCCAGCGAACAGCAAGGGGAACGCAGGGAATTTTATGACTTCGGACAACATTCCCCTCAAAGACAACATGCCGTGGCCTTGCGCAAACGGTGCAAGCAGCAGCAGTGGGACCTCTACCATCACATTAAATGCGGTTTGGTTTTCTACCTGTGACCATGCGCATCCGGTGAGATTGGACCATGATGGCAATGGACTTCAGTTGCAAACAATGCTACTCGTGAGTCGGTTGGCAAGCTACTGCGAAAGTGGACAACTGCCAGTGAGAGGCCTGGGCAAGGTACAGGTGCTTTCCAAAACAGGAAATGCGACGCAGACAAAATCGGAATTGAGGAGATCCAAGTCGTAATTACGCCGCTTGCAGTCCTTTCTGCAAGCACGGGGAAGGTTTTGGGAATGCAAGTGTCGTCTCTTTGGACACCGAAGCCTTGGTGCCATTCAAACTGGATCTCACACACTAGACCTGTAAGCGTGATACTACGGCCGCCTTGACTGCCGTTCTACCGAAGCCGGTGATGACAGCATATCCGACCAGACTACCCTGCCATGCGGGCTTGTCCCTGCGACGCAGGAGCTCTAACTTAGAATAGCCTTGAATTCGCAGGTTCTGAAAGGAGTATGGCCATGCACCTGCATATCAGTTTTAAATCCAAGACTCGTCGAGCAGCTGAAGCCCTTCATGCTGGCAGGTCTTTCTGACACGGGAAGAGAGGTGCCGCTGCTGCCTTGACAGGGGGATGGGCTTGGGATCGGCAGGGCAGACGTGGCACAACTTCATCAAGCTTGAACCGGTAGACCCATCTCAGGTATGCTCTCCTGGCCAGTGCCGTTTGCCACGATCTTGGTCACCCAGGAGTTGGTCTATGACTATAAGGGACTATGGCTATCTGGCTATCTGCTGACTCGATGGCAATGATGATGATGGTGATGGTGATGATGATGACGACCATGGTAATGACGATGTCGACGACGATGATACGAGGGGGAGGAGGAGGAGGAGGAGCAAGAGGAGGAGGACCGCGTCATGATGATGAGTAGCATGACTGCCGTGCTTTTTGTTTCATTCGTCTTGAGCCAGGCTGCTGCATCACAATCGTGTTGCATGAACAAGCAGGATGTGGACTCGCAGCGTGATGCGTCACAGCCCGGACAAAGCCCACATACCACACCCGACTCCCAAAGGCCAAAGAGCCCCAAGCTGTTTGCATCAACATGGACTGGGAAGGACTGAACAATGTTTTCCTCATCGAAACGTCCCACGAGTTGGCCCTGCGCTACAACGACTCTCGGATGCATCGTTGGCTGCCAGCCACCTCTTCGACCCGTGATGTCAAGCTGAAGGCTGCCTAGCTGGTTCTCTCGCTCCCTCTTCCTCGCGACGACCGAAGACGACGACGATTGCTGCTACTAGTGTTACTACTACTACTACTACTACTACTACTACTACTACTACTACTACTTGCTATGTAGTGCCTTCGGATGCTGCCACGCGGGAGCCACAAACTACCACCACAAACTACTACTACTACTACTACTACTACTACTACTGCTACTACTACCACTACTACTGCTGCTGCTACTACTACTACTACTACTACTACTACTACTACCACTGCCACTGCCACTGCCACTGCCACTGCTACTGCTAC